CTTTTGGACGAACAGACAGGTTGCTTATTGAAGTTTTCAGGAGAGCTTGAAGATGTTTCAAGAGAAGACTTTCATGAATTGTTCTCTGGCCATGGAAAGATAAAGTGGGTCGATTTCACAAGAGGGGCCAAAGAGGTGAGTGTAACTCCACCATTAAAGTCACACTCAGGGTAAAGAGATGCAACGTAGTTAAAAAGGTTTTTTTCATTTTGCTTTCTACAAGGGCACACTCCTGTTCGACGGGAACGCAAAGGAAGCGTTCGATAAGGCCAAAGAGGCAAGCGGAGAGGAACTGAAAATCAAGAACAACAGTGTTACGTGGCAGGTGCTTGAGGGAGATGAGGAGAAAGAGATGCTGAAGAAGATAATTGAAGCTCAGCAAGAATCATACAACAGGTCCAAAAGCAGAGGTAACAATTCTTTTTCAAACTAGCAGCTGATCAAGAATGATTTGTAGTTCATCGACGATTAGTTTACTGTATTTATGATTTGGTACTGATGTATTTTGTGTGTCCTTTTAAGGTGGCAGAGGAAGGGGAGGCGGCAGAGGAAGAGGAGGCCGAAGGGGAAGAGGTGGCAGAGATCAAGGCAGAAATCAATACAGGGGCAAAAAGACGAAATTCGACAGTGACGATGATGACGGTGGTAAGTTCCACATCTTTCAGTGCAGGGGTCCCACTTCCACGTTGGTCCCCAGTTTGAAAACAACTGTTGACAACATTGTTGATCCTATCTGCTTTGTTTCCTCTAGAACCCGCAGCCACAAAGAGAGAACTAGAAGATGCCGACGGTCCTGCAGCAAAGGTTGCCAAAACTGAAAATGGATCTTAGTCACAAGGTCACACCCAGAAATGTTCTTTTTTTTTTGAAAACATTTATTATTATAAACAGTGAAAATGCAGAGGCAATTAAATCCATTCCAGTGAAAGCGTCAGGTGTTTGAGAACCGTAGGAAGTCCACCTGGATGTCCACCTAGAGAACAATTGGCAAAAGCTTGGCGTCAGTTTTTCAGCCTTTTAAGTCCCTGTATATTGTGCCTCTCACATTATCTGTCTACCTTTGTTTATCTTCTTAAGATGTCTTTTGATTTTATCATTTTCAACATAAATCTGCTCTTTGAAAGTAATTTAATTTCATCAATTTCAATTAGTTGGTTTTGTAAGACCTGTGACATCTAGAGTCTGTGTGCCATTGTGGTTTTTTTTTTTTCCTTGTAGATTTCCTACATTGAGTGATGAGATCATCCGCTTTGCTATTTTTTTAAGTTTGCATATGTGAATAGCAAATAAAACATTTATAAAAATGAATCAAGATCAGTTTGAATGGGTTTTGTTTTCCTGAAACTGTAGTGTGATGCATTTGTACAAGCTTACCGATTTCTTTTTGTGGAACTTGTAAGATGCCGGCAAATCATATCTTAGTTCTGTAAAGAGGGCACAGAGTCAGTGTTTGAATGTGTTAACTGTAGAGAAGATGTACTGTATTATTCTTACCTGCTATTACTTCCATCTTCACTCCCCAGTCATTTGCCTTCTTTTGTATATGCTGTAATCAAAGGAGGGATGAACGTCAAGCATTTCAGTCTTCATGCCAGAAATGAGACTTAAGAATTGAATTTTGAAAACAGGCTCATTACTTTAGTGTTAATGCAGTTGAGTGGAATATTTTTTTATATATATATATATTTTTTTTTTTTTTTTGCATCATTGCACGCCTTCTGAACATCGGTGCATATTAAACAGGACAGACTAACACGCCATGAACAAATAAGACCAGACAGACGAGGGGGACTTGACCCTGTTTGAAGTAGAAATGTCCTTCAGAAATATGAAGAGTGCTTTTTACTTTTATACTAGGAGTACATTTTAGAGTATGTACTTTTTCACTTTTACTTGAGCAAAGAAGTTGAATCAGTACTTCTACCTAAGTCTGTTTTTACACAAATGTCTTTACTTAAGTAGAGAATGTTTGTACTTTTCCACCTCTGTTTTTCTGCTAACAGCTTTACACAGAAACTGTTCAAATGTAATTTTAATGGTCAGCAATCAGAGACCTGAAAGACAGCAACAGTTTCCATATGAAGACTTGTAATGTGACGAAGAATTGCCTCAAAAGCTTTAAGACCATGGTGCTGTAAATGTGCCTGTGTGGATACCAAACTTACCTCTCGTGTTGATGTTTTATGAAGTGAATACACTGCTGTCTTTGCCATTGTTAAAGCGGCCCGTAGGAACTTCATGTCCATGCCTTCAATAAAGATTACAAACAAATGTCAAACTACATGAAACTCGATGGGGTAACATTTAGTATAAGGGGCACTCCACTGATTTTTACACATGAAGATCAGTATACATTTCACAAGGAGAATTACTCAGCCTGTGAAAACTGTTGTTAAATGTCTCGTGGCTTTAGAGAGCGCTGTCTAATGCCATGTTCAGGTCATGTGGGAGTTACCATGATTACTAGTTTCCGACTTTTAAATACCGTTCATTGTAAAATCCAACGTTTTTCTGAAAGCTTTGATACATCCGACTTTGTGCTGGATAATACAGAAAAGATTGTACGTCCCAGTTAACACAAATATAATGGATATTGTGCCACATCTTCAATGCAAAGTAACCCAAATTAAAAACAACTGATCCACTAAGTAAGACGTAAGAGTAAGGTTTCTGGAAAGAGATATTATGTGGTAATGGGTTTTCTTTAGGTCACATTCGGCAATCCTGTAATTATCTAAACATAACAATATTCACAGTCTCTCTGATCCATCACAAATGACCTGAACGCAGCATCAAGTCTGAGGAAAATCACCCCTTATGATTTCATTAGGATCCAGAGTTTTGGGACCCATATAATGTGACTTAAAGCCAGGATATCTTCGCCTCTGCTGGATCAACCAGACTATTCTTTTCAACAAATCTCTCTTAAAGTTCTCCACTAAATCAATTTAATACCCCAGATTTATGCACACAATGCAGTTGAAGGGGCCACTGTCCCATTGTGTTTGGCAATGCAGTGAGAAAAAGTCTTTTTGTGAAGAGGTTAATAAAAGCTGTAGAAAAGATCTTAAAGGACTTGGTTGACCTGAGTTTTTTATTTCAGCCAAATATGACAAAAGTGAAGAAAAAATGACCGACACGTGTCTGCTTCACACTAAAAGATCGATCGCAACCTTCACAAAGACTGACATATATTCTAAAAGGAAAACAAGATATGTTTACTGTTAAATGTATGGATCTATTAGATGATGAAGAGGAGGAATGAGTACTCCACGATGAAACCTTGCAATAATCTGTGCTCAGTTTAGTAAAGATAATAAAATACTTCCAACATGCTCTTAGGTTTATGTATGTACAAAAGATTGTTTTACATCTGAGAAGTTGTTCTTTGCAACTTCATTTTAAGGCATTTGTTTGTTTGTTTGTTTGTTGTATATGTACACATGTTCTATATTAAACAAATAGCTCTGGAGTAGCCCTTTAAATTCACCTTGGTTGTGTTTGGTCCCAAACGGTGGATTCATAATGACTGTGTCAAACTTTTTGGCATAAGCCTCTGCCTCCAGAGAGCACAGGTCACACTGCACCAGATCCACGTTACCAATCTCAAACTCCTCTGCGTTTCTTCTGAATATGTCCAGCGCGTCGTTGTCAATGTCGAAGCCGACGCACAAACTGAGGAAGAGGAGGAAGAAGAAGAGACGAGGGGAGGTGAGGACTGATTCAAAAGTACAGCTGTTATCCCAAATGCGTTGAGATGCCTCTCACCCTGCATCAAGCATCGCAGCCCCGATGCTGAGGACTCCGCAGCCACATCCCAGATCCGCCACTAGTTTACCCTCAATGTCATCAAACGTGCTCTGGATCGTATAAAGCATGCATGCTGTGGGGGAAACAGAAGACTTTGTTTCATTTGACAGATAAATTCAACAGAACTCTCCTCTGATCACACATTGTCGCCTCACCAGCAATATGAGGACTGGTTGGATATTGTTCCAGGAGGATTTTGGGCTCTTCAAATGTGTCCACCTGCTGTAAGTGACTCTCTAACTCTTTCAGCTTCATCATTAGCGGCTGTGATTGATCAACCAGTGTGTCCTCTGTGCGACAACCCCTGTCAGGTATTTCAAACGATTGTTATTGAGCTCAAATCGATGTGGTTGTTTACGTTCAGCATGGTTGTGGACGACTTCCGATGAGCGTGCGCATCGATCAAAACCGTCCGACTTTGACCCCGGAACCTGTGATAGTAGTTCCTCCCTGCATGTGTTTAGGTTTTTACATAAAGATGAATTTACTGTGTGTAAAGTTTCTTACAGGTGTCTTAGAATATGAGTTAGTTCGTTACAATAGAAATGATACCATTGCTGCAAGAGGTAAATAAAATAATTATAAATATTATACAAATATTGATGAATATATATAAATTAAAAGCGACATACAAATGAATAACGTGACTGCAAGAAAATAATAATAATAAAAAGGTAAATAACAAACATAATTAATAAATAATATATAACAAAATATGATGAAATTTATAATAAATTAAAAAGCGACAATCACAAATGATAACGTGGACTGCAAGAAATAATAATATACATAAAAAAAAAATATAATATATATATATAATACAAATCGGATAAATATATAATATTAAAAATGTGAATAAAAGTAATGTGCCAACATGAAAAATATCGTATAAAATGTTTTAATTGGTCATTTATGGCAACTCCGCTCAGCATTGTGGTGTATATATATATATATATGTATATATTATTTATATATAATATATATATATATATATATATATATATATATACATATATATAAGTATATATGTACATATAGTGTTAATATTATAAAACCTATATATCAGTCTCATAATGGACGGATGTTCCCAAACAAAGCTATCAGTTACCTAGAAACAAGAAAACAAAACAGCATTAATTACTGCGCATGACCCGAGCTGGTTAAAACCAGCAGGAAGCCGCAGACTCGACTAGATCAAATATTTTTTAAACAACGTTTTTAATAAGATTTAAAAAAACAGCAAATACTTCACAACAACTAGATTAACGCTCACTTATTGTACACGGGTCGTAAATTACATATTTGGAAATCCGTCCGCGAACAACGACATAACGCCAAGTATCGCGAGAAACCCCGAGAACATGGAAACAAGACAACAAAAATAAATTTGTGGACAACAAGCCAGAGTGCATGATGGCGGCGTCGCTGCTGCGCCGGGACAAGAAAGCCACTGCCGCCCACTTGAAGGCAGACTTAAATCGGACTGACAATACTTCCGGGGTCCGACAACTTCAGGAGCTTCTCGACGCTGTGCTAAATCCCGAAAAACCAGCGGCGGACACGGACGCTCTCGACTGGTGTAAATGTCTGATAGCGGGAGGCGACGGTTTCGAGGACTTCTGCAAAACGGTCCGGTCCTATGATAACGCGACTCTGTGCGGCTTGGTCTGGACGGCCAATTTCGTGGCCTATCGCTGCCGGACCTGTGGCATCTCTCCGTGCATGTCCCTGTGTGCGGAGTGCTTCAACAACGGAGACCACACGGGCCATGATTTCAACATGTTCCGCAGCCAGGCTGGCGGGGCCTGTGACTGTGGAGACAGTAATGTCATGAGGGAGAGTGGGTAAGTCCGAGCTAGCGGGTAGCTACCGGAGGGCTGCGACTCATAAGCCTCTGCTGTTTTGACAGGTCTCTCGGTGGGAAGTGGGATAAGTTGATTCATTAGATGTCCCGATCGGTGTGGTGGGTGTCAGCTTCCAGGTTAACTGATTAGTGCCAGTCTTGTCTTTTATTAATAGGAAACCCTCGATTAAGCAGCTCTGCTAACCATAACAATAACTCTGCTACCAGAAGCTGTAGTTTCTATCTATCTGTATGTGACTGCTTAGATATGGTCTGGGAGCAATTATCGTGATATAAACGGGTCTTTTACTGCTGCATTACAGTGGAGGGATTGCTATAATTCACCTGTTTAATGTTAATTTAATCGGTGCTTCTGTCCTGTACCTGACTGTGTCTCCTTCCTTGATGCTTTTCCTCTTAGAAACCTATTATAAATAATATTACTAATTATAGTTTAGATAAAAAATATCGTGTGGCTGAGTCTAAACAATGCACAGTTGTTGTCCCAGGTTTTATAGTGTAACTTGAGTGTCAAAATATTGTGATATTACATTTTGGGAGGGCTTTGCTGCTGACTGATGTCTTGAGGAACATGAGCAAGAGATGTAACGTTAGTAGATTGTGTGTTAATGTGGGTTAAACTATATGTATGGGCAAAAATAGAAACACCTCCCTGATGCTCACCTAATCCCAACATCCTAAACTTTAACCTCACCCAATATTCAAACATTACATATATAAAAGCAAACAGAAATGTAACACATGATGTTACACCCGACAGGAATCTGCGTCTGAGTTGCACTTAGTGTCGTGGTTTCACCTGTTAGAGTGAGTTGATACAATATTGGATTAAGGAAATAGAGACGGACATCAATGGCTGCGTTGATCTTTGTGAGAGATCTGCAACGTCAACATTTACTTGTTTTGTTTTTCTCTGACAGGTTTTGCAGACCACATCGGTTGAGAACGGGGGAGAATGTCCCTTCAATACCTCGAGACCTTCTCTTGATGTCTGAGATGGTTCTTCCTCGCTTCATCCTGTGTATCATTCAGTATCTGAGGGATGGATACATTGAGCCAGGTGACGCTAGAGCTCCAACGATTATTTGATTTGCTGGCAAATATTGAATTAATCGCCAACTATTTTGATAAATGATTAATAAAAATGTGCTTTTAATTTTAGCCTCTGAAATGTAAATATTTTCAGATTTCTTTCGTCTTCTATGACAGAAAACTGAATATCTTTAGGTTATGGACAAAACAAGACGTTGGAGGATGTCGCTTTGGGAAACAGTGGTCAACATTTTTCACAATCAGACACTTTATGGACCAAACAACCAATTGACTAATCGAGGAAATGATCGACTGATTAATAAATAAAAACTATTAGTGACAGCTCAAGGTGACACCAGATAATATACTTTGACTATCAAGCAGCAACTATTAAAAACGACTTTAAATTATTCTGCATCCATACTCTCATTTACTTCAATTTTGACATTTTATATATTATGTGGATCTCCTATTGCAGATCAAACGCAAAACAGGACCTGCTGTGCAAGCCGGATACCAGTGTTATACAACTGTTTACATCCAAAATGACGTTGACAATGTGCTAAGTCTGAAGGCTTGTATCTCTTATCTTGCTTTGCCAGACACCTCAACTGAGAGAGATCTACAGAAAGTCCTGCAGCAGCTGGAACCTCAGATCTCCTTCCTGGAGGAGCTCACAAAGATGGGAGGAGCAATGCGGACCGTACTGACAAAGATCTTGACCAATCAGCAGACATTCAAGGAGTTGAGCATGGGTAATTATCTACACCAGAGTTTGGGTTAGACCAGCATAGGTTTTATAGAGATTGAGCATTGTCATAGCACAGAAGTGTAGTGGTGTCTTTCTTGGTTTTAGGCCCTTTTTTGAACGACTGAAGTATTATTGTGTTTATGTTTCCTTACTGTAGTCGGTTGCCAATACATTATAGCCCTAGGTGACTCAATAGGAAAAGCCAGAGTCTATTTAAGCACTTATAAACATGATACAGTGAAGTTTTCTTCATCTTTATTTTTGACATCAAAATAATTGTTGTTGTAACGTCCGTTCTGCTTCACTGCTGCAGGCCAAGAGGAGAACTTGTATGCTAAAAAGAACTATGACAAGTATCTGTCAGCCTTGAAGAATTCAGGTCTGGTGTCCGTGGAGGAGAAGGGCCAAGGTGCTACAGCTGATGTCACTGTTGGTGCTGAAGGAGGTGCAGGAGCAATGGTCCTGTTGGGTAAGATACCCATTACATATTATATGAAGCACATTTTCATTTAACCGTCTATCAGCTGTTATGCAAATGTTAAATAAATTGAAAAGCAGTCAGATGAGTGGCAGTAAAATGTGCACGTTTGCACATTATTCTGTGCTACCACAGTCCGGTGAACCTGCAGTAACTACTTTCTCTAACACGCGTTATTCTTGAACTGCCTATATCACAGCTGTTCCAGATAATGTTCATGCATTATACCAGTTGGTTAAGGGCAACAAATAAAGTTTATCACCAAACAGCACAGACTATAGCATAAGGCTGCATGATTAAATAAAATTGTATTGAAATCGCAGTATGGCTAAGCCCAATATCCAAATCATGCATTCTTTTGACAAAGGTAGAATGTGTGACAAAACAGTGTTATACAAATCTTGTTCTCCAAATGTAAGAAAACGTCTGGTACAGACCCCTACAGATGTCACAACATCATGATTTTATTTTTATTTTTTTGCAGTGAAACTGAAAATGCAAAAACAATCGTTTCCACTATTGTGAATCATGTCCATATTGTAATATCTGTCCAGATGAATGCAATGTGTCTACCACATAACACTTCTTTCCAGAGAAATCCAACTTTGCACACATGATTTGAAAGAACTACAAAGTGTATCACATCTTAATGTAACCCATATTTTATACAACTGTTTGATCAAATTGGTAATTTTGTGACATGTCTGTATGTGTTTGTGCTGTGGCTTAAGATGCTTCTAAAGGCTACTTGTCGCTAAATGTTTTTCTGGTTTTCTTTAGGAACCACTGCACCAGGGAGCCCAGATGAGTCTAATAAAGAGGTATGTGCCAGCATCACACACATAATAGCAGAATTTAACTATTTTCAATTTACTTTTGGTTTAGGGTCCAGAAGATTAGTCTGTAATTTTTATTAATAAATACTTTTGTTTTTTAAATGTAACAAAATCCCCAGTGTTTAGAGCCTACATAGCTATCTTAAATTAAGTCTATGTTTGGGATTTTTACTTGATACTTGATACTTATATGGATTAGATAGATAGATAGATTACCAAAATGGATGTTAATTCATTTTTTGCCAATCAACATTTGAGGTTAGTCTATTTTATTTTGATCTACAGTTAATTCAATATTTTATACACTTGTTAGTTGAAATTGTTGTTGTTTTTTCCTCTCAGGAGGACCAAGATGCAGGGCAGTCTGTTGGCCAGAGGAAGAGGGTTAAGCTGAGCAGCAGTACCAAAGGTAAATGTGAAGAAAATGTAATGAACCAGTATATGTTAC